TCATTGTTTAGTTTACTTTACTTTTAAATTATAATTGCCATTTGCTTCTTTTTTTCATTAAACTAGGTAACACTGATGTTACCTTTGAAGTTTAAATGAATTTCTCTTGATATTCAGTGGGTAGTTTGGACTTGGCAGTATTTTCCAACCCAATTTTGGAGGCCACAAGATTTTTGAAACAGTATACAAATAGCTTGATATATCCTAAAAACTTGACTGGGAAATGTTGTTATAACAACTATGTTTTAAAGATGTACTGAAAATTGGAAAATTTTAAATTTCCCATGGAAATAAAGGATGATCTACACTTCCAATAAAGGTTTCTAAATTGGGATTTGGACAACTACTTATAATGTAGAGAGTAGCATGAAGTTCTGGGAGGTGAGCAACTTATTGCCATAAAGTTGGTTGGGAGGAGGTGTGTTATGAAGGTTATGCAAGGTGCACGAATAGGCTATCTAGTAACATAACACTCATTTATCATATATTGTAGATAAATATCTAAGATTTTAATATTCAGGTTATAGATAGTATGTTCCGTATTTGACCCTTCTTTTCAATTACCTGATATATTATTCTTAGATGTATAATTTAGACTCAGAAAATTATTGTACTACTCAGCTTTATTGTAAATGTAATGCTCTTGACCACACTGAAGAGACCAGTCAGAAGCAAGGCAGAACTTGTTGAATGGTAGGCCAAAGACAGAAGATCAAGGTTCTTAACTCTGTCACTTAGTACCTATGTGATTGTGCTCAGGATTTTATCTTCTCAGGGCCTTGGTTTTCAATGCGAAGTGGAGGTAATGCATTTCCTGCCAATGTAATAGGAGTTCTTCTGAGATTTAGCAAGCAGGTATATCTGGAACATGTTAGAAATGTGTCCCCACTTGTTTTTTGCCAGTGTGGATTTCAGACAAGTAGTAATACTTAATTGCCTCTGCCTGTACTATGTTCTGACTTCAAATCGACTTTTAAGCAGTTTTAAAAAGTATTCTGGTGAGTTGAAGAAACACAGAATTTCATAAGTTTTTAAAACTGTATCAAGATCTTAGAGTTGCCCCCATTCCCCCGTTTAAAAATGAGTGATCCAATTTAGACCAAATAATTTGATGTTTCAGAATTCTATTTTTTCATTTTGAGAGAGAACTGATAAATGGGGGAAGTATCTATTTCTTTCACCACAGTAATGATGTTAGTATTCATGAATTAACATAAGGAGTAGAATCCGAATGTCAGTAACACATAGACTCTAAGTCAAGTGTTTTGTAGTTTCGGCATCAGGCAGATGTAATCATTAGTTTTGAACATAGGTTTGTGGATATTCCTATATGGTCACAAATCACTGGCAAGCAGATGAAACAATAAAACTGTCAACTCTCTTCATTATTCTTTGAATGCGTATTTTTATGTCTATTTCATTTCTGTTGATTTATACTTCAGTGCAACCTTTATTTTCATTCAGTACTACTAAATCTGTGAAACCAAAGGAGATGCTACTATTCCTGTTTCTTGGAAGAGAATGAGGCAGTTTGCCTCCATTCCTTCTGTTCTTCTCCAGATTCAAGAATGTTGCACAAACCTCCTTATCTCTATACAAAACAGAGCAAAGCTAAAGACAAGAATATGTGGTATAATCTCTGTAGGAGATACCAGCTCTGAAGCAGTTGTTAAGGAGGGAGCTGCAGCTGTTTCTAGCAACCCTTCTGAGTGTGACTTTTCTTTCCTTTGGAACGAAAGGGACAGGAAGAGAGGTCAGTAAAGATAATGGGAAAGTCAAGGATCCAAACTCCATGTTACTTAATGTCCCTGTTCCCTATCTTACCTTTGAATTATCTTCTGCTGTAGTCTGTTTGTTCGCTTTTTGTTCCCTCAACAATAAAGTTATAAAAAGAGTTGGACTTCCTTTTGTTACCGCATCTGTCATCATCTGGGTCAGAAGGATAGTGTGAGGTGAATCTTGAGTATCATCATCTATCTGAAGTTGCCTGCCTTTCTCAACCACTCAGCAGCCTCAGTAGGAGTATTTCATACATTACCCAAGAGAGGAGTTGGGTGGTTCCCCTCTTCAGGGTTTCAGGAGTTTGCCCCTCTACCCACGTTTCTATAAAATTTCACCTATCAAATTGCCACCAAGGCCCCCCTGAGGGATTTTGTCCCTCCCTTTTATAGACTGAGTCACAAGTCTTAATTCTGAGACTCTAGGCTGCTTCTCTTTGGTCTTCATTTTAGCTAAAACAGATTAAAAACAACGTCATTCTTGACTTTCTTCCTCTCAATTTTAGGTTTTTTGGTTATACATTTAATCATGTCTCCTGGCCTTGTATTGACTGATGCGTTTTTCTACCCATTACTGGGAAGGTTATTTTTGTGACCTCAAACTAGGAGTGACCACTAGGTAGCAGTCATTCTGGCAACAGTAAATAATGGTTCCACATCCCTTTCAACCTCCCCTCCCCCTCCTTAAACCCTTTCCCTGACAATAGCGCCCCTCATCCCCTTCCCCACCAGTAACACCTTAGCCGTTATTTAAATTACAGAGTCAGGGTCCTTTTACTGTTCCACCCCAGTCACCAACTGCAGAGAAGCATGCTCATAATCTCATGATACTGTTAATTTTTGTAATTTTAGTATTCAAATAGCATTAAGTGGCATCTTGTGGTTTGTATCGGAATGTCACTGACTAACTAACTGACTAATGTCAAGCTTCTTTTGATGTGCTTATTGTTTATTTGTCCATCCTTTGTTTTTCGGGGTTTTTTTTGCATTTCTTTAATTGAAGTATAGTCAGTTTACAGTGTTGTGTCCATCCTCTTCTGTTAAGTGTTCTACCCAGTTTTGTTTTAATTGGGTTGTT